CCACCGGCCCTCCGGCTCACCCTCGGTGACCACAGCTGCGAGCCGCCTGCACGGGGCCAGCCGGAGGCAGTTCTCTGTGCGGCGCTGAATTTCTGGGGATCATTATGAGATTCATCTGCTTTTCCCCCATCACCTTTCCTGTATTCACCAGGGAGGTTGGAGATACAGCCTGGGAGGCGTGACCCCCCCCGGGGACACAGGCGAGCTGCCCCTCCAATCCTGCTCGCGCTGCCATGGCCGATTCGAGCTCAAGCTGCTGCTCAAGTTCCCCTTTACCCCCACTTTAGGGGACTCCGGGGACAGTCTGCTCTGCTGTCACCTCCCGGAGAGCACGCCTGGGGCAGGCTCCCGATCCCCCGCCAGCATCCCGCTCCCCTCTGGCAAGATGCTCTGCTATGGAGCTGTGACAGCCCACACGCCGGGAAACGCACGAATGCCAGCTCCTGCAGCACCAGGAATTTTTCACGACGCCCCCAGCCAAGGCTTTTTTTAAAGCGTCAGCTGGAGCAAGCTGCCTTACGTCTGCCGGTGTGGGAGGAGGGAGGCAGGAAGAGTTCGCTCATGCCCCCCCATGGAAAGGAGATCTCCACGGGGTCTTGCTCTGACCACGAAGCCACCCCCAAACTCGCCTCCCCAGAGCGTGGCCGGGTCCCTGGGACTCACCTCTCTTTTGCCACCTTCTGCAGCTGCAGGAAGTCTTTCTTCAGGCTCTGCAGCTTCTCCTGCTGCTGGGAGGCGCCGGGGGCGAAGCCGCAGGAGCCCAGCTCCGCAGCCAGGTGCTCCAGGGCGGCCAGGTCCTCCTGGTGCTGCCTCATCTCCGAATTCAGTTCCTGCCAAGAGCAAAGGGCGATGCCGACCGTGCCCTCGCCAGCAGACTCGGGCAGAGGGGATGAACCGGAGAGCCCCACGTCCTGGCGAGCCGGAGAGACCCTCTGCGGGCAGCGCCATGAATTGCACCAGCGCCGAACGGGCAGGCGCAGCTCAGTCCCACCTGCTCCCCCAGCTCAGCAAATACTTCAAGCAGCTGCGGGTGCAAGTCCCCCCTTCCCCGGTGCTGCTGTAAGGCCACGCAGTGAATGGGATGGAGGGCCCTAGACCAAGCCAAATCAACGCCCCCCCCCCAGCACAAGTGTCTGGTTTTATGCCAACTTAGAGCATTTCTGAGGCTGTGGTCAAACCACCCGCGGTAGCGGAGCACTCGTAGGAAGCCAGAGGGAGGAATCCCGTGCAGCCGTGACCGGCCACCAGGACCCACGGCATCTCCGAGGACTTTGTCACATCCTGCACTGCGCTTACTGCCAGCGCTTGGGCGTTTTGCTGTTAACCCCGTGGAGTCTTTAATTGGTAAAAACCTTGCTATATTTGGACTGGCCCCTAAGAGCCTGGCTATAGATCCCTTCAGAAAACCAGCCCGGCTCCAGGGAAATGCCATTCCCCTCTCTCACTGCTGGAAACAGCCTCAGCCGCACCGGCTGCGCTCCCTTCCCCAGGCAAAGAGCCAGCACAGGTCCTGTGGATCCTGCCAGCCTGGGAGTGAACCAGGGGCTGTTTGCCCAGAAAGAAATCATTGTAAAACAGCCCTGCCCTAGAAACCCCGAGGCAGGTGGAGTCTTCTCCCCCTGCATCTCACCTGGATGTGCTGGGAGAAGTGAGCAATGTCCCGGTCTGGCCGGTTCCCGGATGCCAACATCCGCGCTCGGCTCTCCGTGAACTGCTGCAACTTCTCCAAGAGCTGCTCATACTGCTCGACCTTCGGGAGGAGGCCCTTCAGCGCGTCCTCCCTCTCCTGCTGCTGCTGGCACAGCCTGCCAAAATGCTCTGTCACCTCTGCCAGCTTGCCCTGCAGGGCAGAGGCCGTGGGGCTGTCTGCCGCCTCCATGAACCGCGTCACCATCTCGCGGGTGGCTTCCAGGCAGCTCTTCTGCCTGGCAATGTCCTGCTTCAGCTTCTGTGGTAAGAACACAGAAAGGGATGCCATTTTAGGAAGGCTCTCGAGCAAAACTGAACTGGCATGGAGAGGCTGGGCCGCCCTTGGGAAAGAATAGTCAGGCAAGAACAGTTTTCTATCCCAGTTTTCCCTTCCTTTCTGATCTCCCCAATCTGCTCTGCCTTTTCCCAGTGCCTGATATCTAAGCCCTGCTTGTCAGCAGAAAAAAGACTTTCAACAGGTCTGTATCCTGGCTTAAAGAAATTAAGTAAAGGTTCTGCTCATATCCCTTTTTAGGGGTTTTTTTGGTGCTTTCAGAATATTGTAGCTAACCCCCAGCAACTGCCTGCACAGTTCAGGTCTTGCAGACAGGCGTGTTTGAGGCGGGGGAGCTCAGGGACCAGCCTTACCGCGCTCGTGGCAAGCGAGTCCTGGATGGAGGTGGAGGAGAGCACAGCCGGCTGCTCTCCCTCCAGGTTCTTCTCGATCTCAGCCACCGACTGGAGGAGGCTCTCCAGGCTCTCCTGGACGCTCTGGGACTGGGCAATGGATTTCTGCAGCAGGTCCGAGCGCTCGGCCATCTGCTGGGAGAGGCTCTGGAAGCGGTTCACGATGGCATCTGCAGAGTTCAGTGCAAAGGAAAATCAGCGGCACAGAGCTTCTCGCCCGGTGCTCAGAGAGCAGCAAGTACCACCTTTGGCTCCTGCCAAACTCTCACCGATGACAGATCCCCATCCCCAAACTCAGCAGCGAGACAGGGGACCGAACGCAAATGGCCAAACTGGATCTCAGCCCTCCTCACGTGCAAACGCAAGCCCTGAAGACGCGTTGTTGTTCACCTTTGCCCCACCTTCTCCCAAAAGTGGGAGACTTCATCTTTCCCACCTCCTCGGTTGGTTTTCACGCTCTCCCCAACCATCCCTGCTAATGCAGGTGGCTACTTTGCTCTGTACCTGTTGTTTCCTGAACGCGCCCGTGGTCCGGGGCCGGCTCCCCTTGTACCTCCAGCAGGGACTGAGCTGCTTTCTGGAGCTTCTCCACCGGCACCTGATGCTCAGCGAGGTCTCCCTGCAGCTGCTGCTTTGACACGAGACAAGGCAAAATCAGCAAATGGGCCCCACGCAAGAGACCTGCACCCGCGGGGAGCTCAGGGCTCCATTTAAACCCTGCTGAGGGATCCTGTTCACTTAATCACAAAACCGTTAAGAAAAATAATAACCTAGGTTGGAAGGTCCAACCCCCTGCTGCAGGCAGGGCTGACTTCAGAGCTGGATCGGGGGGTCTGGGCTGTCCCTGCACCCAGCCACCCTCACGGGGGAGGAATGTCCCCGCCGTGTCCTGCTGGGGAGCCCCCTGTGGCAGTCCGTGACTGCAGCCCCGTGGTCCTGGTTCTGAGCACCTCTCAGCAGAGTCTGGCTCCACCTGATCTGCAGCGCAGGGACCTCCTGAGCCTGCAGGTACCTCTTTGCACTCAACCAGCAAAAAAAAGTGAACGGATCGAGTCTCTTTCCTGCCGCTGACTGCTCAGAGCAGCAGCCAAATTCCCGTAGAGCCTCCAGCGCTCCCCCAGGAGATCACCCAAGGGCCCCGTACCTTAGCGCTGGCAAGCTGCTTTTGCAGAACAGCCGGATCTGAAGAAACTGTCTCCGAGAGCAGTTTCCCAACGGCAGCTTCACTCTCCTGCAGCCACGTCCTGAGAGACTCTGCCACCTCCTGGAACTGCTGGTAGTGATCCAGCAAGGTGTTCAGGTGGGAGCCCAGCTTGGTGCACTGCAAAGGAGCAACAAGACGTAACGGGAGGATGCACACAAGCACAGAGCAACGTGGGCACCGCTGGAATACACACAGATGTCATCGAGAAAGAAAAAACAATCAAAAAACCAATCTTGCCATATGTGTTAAAGGAATTACAGGAGACAACATGCAGACCAACACCAAGACAGGGGGTGTTACTCCCGCCCAAGCCCTGAAGATAACAATCCTTGTCCTACAGTCTACATATGCGCTAGAAGTCCAGCCAGACACTCGAGAGAAACATCTCTCGGCCACCCCTGCTCGTTCAACACGCACAGGAGGAAAACAAGTGCCCAGGGTTCAACTCCCAGCCTTGCAAAGCCCTTCTTGTACCTTGGAGTGCAGCGTGGTGTATCGCTGCGTCGCATCCTCCAGCTTGCTCTTGACCACGCTCCCGGACATCAGCGGCTGGGACCCTGCATCCTCAGCAGCTCCCTCTGCATCCAGCACCTTCTGCCCCGACATGGTAACAAACCGCAGGTCGCCTTTGTGGGAGATCACATCTTCTGAGAAGCTCCCCTGTCGCAGGAGCAGCTGCCGGAGGGCCGTGGGGTCGCTGTCCCCCTTGTACATCCCCTCCAGATCCTGCTCCGCTTGCTTCAGCCAAGCCTCAAACTCCCCGTGATCCCGCAAGAACTTCTGCAGCTCGTCCCGCAGGACTTGCACTTGCTTCAGCCGCGTTTCCGACTGCGAGAGAGAAGCCGCATACTGGTCCTTCAGCTCTGCCAGCCGGCCCTGGAGCCGGTCCCGCTCCTCCCCAGCCAGGCTGTGGCCATGCTTGTCCAGGAAAGCCTGCGCCGACTGCGTGGCCAGGATGACGTCCTGCTGCTGGGACAGCAGCTCCTGGTGCTGGGCCTGAAAGATGCCGGAGAGCAAAGGTGATGCTTGCGACCAAGGGTCTCTGCCCACCAGCACCCGGCGGGTGCAGTGAGGCCACGCGCGTGACCAAGCCTCCGCACCCTCCTACAGCACTACCAAGGTGGGGGAACACCCCAAGGCTGGGATACAGGCAGGCACTCTGCCCACAGGAGAGTAACCCCTTCTCTGACCATGATGGGCACCTTCTCTCGTTACCCTGATTGCACCGTGCTGTGGCACCCACCCACCAACACAGAGTGCATGTCCTCCAGGAAGCCAGGCAGGGACTTCCCAAGTCTCCCATACGGAAAATCACCCCGAACATGTGTTTCGGAGGCCAGACCCATCTAACACCCCGTCCTGCTCCCAGCTGCATCAGCAGCCAGAGGCAGGGTCAGTGCGTCGGGCAGAAAGCTTTGAGAGGGACGAGGTGTCGGTCCTGACCTTCAGCCTCTCGTACTGCTCATCCAGGCTCTCGGCAGCGCTGTGTGCTCCCACGACATGGCCATCGGGGACGTCCCGAGTGCCTGTCCCCGCTCGCGCCCCCGGCGCTTGCTCGATGGGGTGCGGTCTGTATTCCAGGAGCCCTCCCTTCTGCTCCAGCGATGCCACCCAGTTCAAAAGGGAATCGATCTTATTGCTGTTCTCCTCCAGCTCTTTGGCAGCCTTCACCTGAAAGCACAAAGGCTCCAGATAAGAATGACCCGTTTTATGCATGTTCAGCAAACGGCTGCATGGAGGAGGGCAAAAAAAAAAAAACCCAACAGAAGGAAAAGCCCCAAACAGTTTTCCAGCCACAGCCTGGAACGCTCACAGACCTCCAGAACACTTCGTGGCTCTCTGAAAGGGGGGAAGGTGCAAAGAAGCTGTGAATAAACTCAGCCTCTCTGCAGTGTTGCATCTCTCACCCCGATACAACCCAGAGTGCCCCCCGCGAAGGGCTGCGACTCCTCGCACGCAGGTGTGAGCACCGCTTTCACCGCCAGCGCGTGGAGGTGCCCGATGCTCACGCTCCCATTACAGGTCAGCCCAAAGGCAGAGCAAGGTGCCTTTTACTCCCCCCTTTTCCTCCACAACCAGCTCATCTGTGGCTGCAGTTCTCAAGGTATTTCATGAGAGAAATGCCTGGGGGGCACCTCGTCTGGGCGACAGACAGGAAGGAACGGCAAATTGCTTTATGCCGTATCACCCAGATGAGTCTGATTGCACTGACTGGACCTCACTGTCCACCTCAAGCAGAGCCAGGGGGCTACAGCTCTTTGCACGTTACCTTTTCAGTCTCCTGCTGCACTGCAGCAGTCACAGCGCTCTCCAGCTCCTTCTGGGCCACCTCTGTCCTCTCCTGCAGGGACCGGTACTGCTCCTTGGCACGCTGGAGCTTCTCTTGCAGTGCTGCCAGCTCCCCAGGCTCCATCTTCGCCTTGTTCTCCTCCAAAAACTCCTCTGTGCTTTTCAGGACGCTGGCGAAGGAGGCGGCTCGGGTGTGCATGTTCCTCTGCAGCTCCTAGGCAGACGATGCCGTGAGGCTCCACGCGCTCCCGAGGCAGCACCGAGCCTCTCCGCCTCCTGCTCCCCGTTTTTAAAAGCACTGACCTTAACATCGCTTTGCCTCTGCTGCAAGGCGGACAGGTCCCCTTCACTGGCTGCTCTCTGCTGCTCTGCCAGCGTGTCCTCTGCCTGGTGCAGCCAGTGGCTTAGCTCGGCCAGGCTCTGCGCCCGGGCTGCCTGCTGCTCCTGCAGCGTCTGCGGGCAGAGGGGAGGGGAGAGGGGACAGTTAGTACCTGTGCTGCACCTCCGGTCACGCACAACGCTGAAAGGCAAGGCGAGAGGTTACAGCTGGAGCATCTCCTGAAGACGAGGATGCAGCACAGAAAACGGCTTTTGCAGCTCTCCACGTGCTCCCTCTCCCTCTCAGGCTCAGACGCTGCGGGAACGGGGCTGAGGTGCCGAGTCCCTGCCGAACAGGAGCTGCTCACTGCACGTTTGCCACCGTTCGAGCAGGTTTCTCTCAATCTACTCTTTGAGAAGCCCGTTCAGCTCCACGTGGAGCTACGCTCCAGGTCACGCACTCCTCACTTGGGAGAGCTCAACCAGAAGTTTCTGTGCCTTTTCCATTCGACCTTACAAACTTTAGAACTGCAGCAGAAACTCTTCTAACGAGAGGTAACAACAACCTGAGGTCAGGCAGCACCACTGTGGAGCCCCAAACAACCTAAGGAGGCTGGTTTTTGGATCCTGGCGTTGGAGAGGGAGCCCGGGAGAGAGAAAGCGTTTCTGTTGCTGATCCAGCTCCTCCGTTTTGCTGCCAGAGCACAATACAGAAGCGCCTGTTTGAGCAATTGAGCATGATGTGACCTGAGAGTCCCTGCAATGTTCCTGTTCCCCTTTCCCAGGGGAGATAAAGGTTTTTTGAGTTTCACTGGGCATTTCAGCAAGGTGATGTACAAACTTGTGCAAAACACTGTGCTTGTTTCTCCCAGTCATAAGATAAACAACAGAAGCAAATTGAAAGAGCCTTCTTAAGAGCTCTTCAGCTGCAAAGCGAGTTCTTCCTGGGTTAGGATGGGCGCACACTCAATCTGAAAAAGCAAAGCAAACTGGTTAATATACACACACACACTCCAGAGAGGACAGGCAAGAGTTACAGAGAGCAACTGTTAATAAAAACCACATTAATCCTGTCTTGAATAAGAGGATCCATGCAGTAACAGGTGCTGCAGCAATGCAGCAGAGACCTGAGGACTTGCTTTTGCAGCTGCCTGCTGCCTTGATACATCATCAGCTGTTTCTCTGGGACAGCAATACCTGACTTGTGCAGTGGAAATAAGACATTAAAACTGCCAGGTGTCTGTGGTGGCCCCCCTGCAACAGGGATTTTTCTGGTGGGGTTACAGAGACCAGGGTTTATTCCACCCAGCCCAAAGCAACTCGATGTCTAGCAGAGGACTGCCCGGCTGTGCTACCCACACCTCGGCAGGGCTCCATCTTTTGGGAGGAAAGCGACTTTCCGCCCGGGAGTTACATGGTAGGAAGAAGACAGACTTTAGAGGAAGCTCATGATGTGCAATGAAAAGTCATAAACTGTGAGTGGCATGCACATGAAATCCCAAATACGACGTGTCTCAGCGCACGTTCTTGTGGCCGGGAAGCGCTTCAGCGAGCAAACTGCAGCCAGGAAGCAGATGTCTCACAACCTTCACCTGATCCGTCTGCTCCACTTGCTGGAGACAGACCTGCAGGACCTCCCCCCGAGCCATCACGTGCTCCGACAGGTCCCGGAAAGCCTTCTGCAGCTCATTGAGCAGCCTCAGCAGCTGCCTGCTCTGCTGAGGGGTCAAGTCCTGGGCGTGCTCCGAGATAAGGAACTGGATGTCGAAGGCAGTGGCGTCGAGCTGAGATTTGGTGTCAGCGAGGGGCTCTTTCAGCTCCTGAATGGGAGAGAAAAGACCTGTCAGGCAAAATGACTCCGCAGCCAGTGCTCTCCTGCACTGCCAGCTTCAGGTGGGACACGCGGACAGGCAGCAGTATGCACCCAAAAAAAGTGCTTTGTCACCAGAACAATATATTCCGGAAACCCGAAACGCTCCCAAAAGCACACTCAGCGTCGAGATGACAGCATCTCACCACAGCAATTTTCTAACATGCCTCTGCACCAGGCCTCCAGCATCTCACCAAGAGGTTGCTTGGACCATGCGTGTAGGGCTGCCCTTGGGTCTGAAGATGACCCAGACCTGGAGCTGCCAGCAGCTCTGTCCAGTCCATGGTGACTTCGTGTGCCACCATCAGCTCTCAAAGCCTTCGATCCCCTGCCTTCAACGCCAAGGTGCTACCGGCAAACAGGAGATGCTGAACTGACCAAATCTTGAAAGCTATTGTTAAAAGATGAATATACGTGGAGGGGAGCCTGGGCTCCTCGTACAGTCGATGGAGACTGGGGCAGGCGTGATGGAGGGGGCTCTCAGAGCCCCCACAGAGGAAGCAGCTCTCTCCTCAACAGCCTGACGGGAATCCCTCCCGGTCGCTCAGCCCCCACCGCACACCTGCATTTTAGCATGTTCCCCAAATGGCCAAAGAGATGGTTTGTGTATTGTGGAAACAAATGACTTTGGAGCAAATAACAATATTGTTGCTCCTCCTGTAACACAGGATAAGGGCAAACCCTTGGTAGGCTCCAGGAGGGAAGCAGGATTAAAAGCTTCTCCTCCGCGTAAAGGACGGCAACTTCATCAGCCAGAAGGATTAGGGGCATTGCCATGGTTACCTTGTAGTGCTGGAGGCAGCGACTCAAGCTGTTCACATCAGTCGTGTGGTGGTAATCGCTGCCGTCCAGCGACTCTGCAGTGCCAGAGACCCAGCTCAGCAGCTCCTGGAGTTTGCCCTGGAGAGTCTCGTGATGTGCCAGGATTTTAGCCTTAAAAACAGAAATGCATCATTTAAAGAAGGAGCAGAGCGCTCCAGGGAAGGAGCGTTGGGATGCTCGGGAGGCAGCGGGGATGGTTTCCAGCTCTACCTTTTCGGTTTCTGCCGCCCCACGAAGGTTCTGCAGCCGGGACTCCAGGACATCACTCGCAGAGCTCAGAGACTTCTGGAGGTTCTTGGCATCCTTCTCCAAAGCCTTCAGCAATTGCTCAGGGACTTCTTCAGGGGGGTTGGCCACAATCCACTTCACGGTGTCCAACTCCTGATTCACTGGGAAGCTCAGCTCCTGCAGCTCAGCGCTCAGGGCCTGAGGCAAGACAGCATCGTTATGTCTCAGATATGGTGACTTCATCTTCCCACTGCCAATACTGAGGAAAGCTTTTGGAGACCCAGCTCCAAACACTGCGTCTATCTGCTAGAAAGATTCATCCAGCCCCGCTCGGCTGCCAGCACTCGCCTGTCTTTCTCCAGGCTGTAAAACTCATTTCAGCCAAGCTTAGGTTATTGTCTAAGCAGGGAGGAGAAGGTGAGCCAGAGGCAGTGCCAGAGCGGGGAGGGATGGGGTTTGCATATAAATGCCTGTTAAACCCGAGACTAACCTCCCCGTCTGGCTCCCAGAAGCGGGGAGGAGGTGCAAGGGCTGTGCATGAACCTGGGGAGAGGAGGAACGAGCTCTGTCCTGCCTAATGCCGGCCGAGCCTGGCCCAGCCTCGCTCACCTCCGCCTGCTGCAGCAGGTCGTGCAGGGCTGCCAAATTCTGCTCCACCGGCTGCACCCGTTTGATTCTCATCTCAATATCTCGGAGCATGGAGAGATATGATATCAGCTTCTCATCGTGCTCCAGACACATCTTCTTGCTGAACATGATCTGCAGAATCAAACAGTAAAACAAAACTTCAAATTTAGACATAAAAGAAAACAAAGGATTATATATTATTCTTTTTTTCAGAGAAGAACTCTGTTAACAACATTCCATTTCGGGGACTTTCCACTCACTAGCCTTATCTACAAGATTTACTACAGGAAAAATAACACACATGGCTCTTTTTCCAACATAAGCTTAAAAATGGCAAGAGATCTCTGGTGTTACAGTAAAAGTGCCAAGAAAAGAGTCCTAGTTATTAGTAATTTGTAAGTAATGCTCTAGCAAAAAGAACCCACAACTAAGCCTCGAGTGTTTTCAGTCCTACATCACCGGGTCCTTTGCCAAATCCATTGCAGCTGATACAGCAACATCAGGCTCAAACATCCACCCACCCCTCATGTTCTGGCTGTCCTCTGTGCTGAGGCCCTCGGACAGATTTAACATCAAACGTACACAAATAGCTCATAAAAAAATGTCGAAATAGCAAAAAGCATCACTTTACCTGGGCTGGTCTCGTGGATTCCCTCGAGGTTTCCAGCAGCTCCCCCTCCACTATCACAGGTAAGAGCAAGCCCCGATCGCCAGGACCCGGCTGCCTGGTCCTCTCCTGGGGTGTTTCTCCTTGGGATTTTGGGGGAACAGGCGCACCTCCTTGGCCTGTGCTGATCTCCACTGTTTGCTCTTGCCGTGTCTCTTCTCCAAGCTCAAGGACGGCAGAGGCTTCCTGAACTTCTCTGGGTTCCTCTCTGATAATTAATTCATCGGGCAGTTCACCTGCTGCAGGGGCTGCGCTGGACGCATCGCTGGTGGTTTCCACCTTGGTGTTTTCCTGGGTCATCCCCTCCTCCAGGCTCAATGCCACCGAGGAATCGTGACCATTTCTGATCCCACCTTTCATCACCTCTCGAGCTCCCCCTTGTCCTGGGAGAACAGGGAACACCTGACCCCCGGAAAGGTTTTCTTTATCTTTCTCAGAAATTGTTTTCTTTTCTTTTTCATCCCTGCTGCTCCCCATGTGCTTGGCTGCATCTCTTGCCAACCCAGCAGTAATCTTGGTGGTGGTTTCATGTTTCGGTTCTGGCATGCTTGAGATGAAGTCCTCCTCCTCCTCCTCCTTCCCTGGAATTTTTTTGGCAATCAGAAAAGGAAGGGACTGCTTTTCCACAGAAGATTTCTCCGGCTGAGCACTGTCTCCTGGGACACCAGTCTGCTTTGCTTTCTTTTTCTTGCTTTTCTGTTTTTGGGTAGGTTTTAGCTCAGTTTCACTTGTTTTTTCTTGATCGACTGGACCTTCTGCACGCAATCTCGGGGTTTCTTCTTCGATGTGCTTGACAGGTTTTTCACCTGCAAGCTCGTCTCCTGCAGGCTTCGTAGGGATGCCAGTCTCAGTTGGTTCTCCAGACTCTGTAGGACCCATCTCTTCCTTCCCTCGACCCACAGTAACAGATTCTCTCAGGACTACCGGCGTTACCCCATCCAGGCTGCCCGCCCGCTCTCCTTGCTCAGAAGCCACCGCTGCACCTTCTTCACCTGCCGCAACTCCCTCTGCACTTACAAACCCTCCTCTCCTCCTCCTCCTCCTCTCCTCGCTGTCCTCCGCACTGTGAAGCGCCTCCGTGTCCAAGAACAACTGCTCTTCCTGCAATCCCAATCCCTCCACTTTCTCTGTCCCTCGATGATCTTCTTCTCTCCTCAATTCCTTCCCCCAAGCCCCTCTCACCTGGGAGCTGCTTTTTGCAGTTCCCTCTGTGTCCAAGAATGACTGCTCTTCCTGCAATCCCAATCCCTCCACTTTCTCTGTCCCTCGATCTACTTCTTCTCTCCTCCATTCCTTCCCCCAAGCTGCTCTCACCTGGGAGCTGCTTTTTGCATTCCCTTTTTCCATAGCCCTTACCACCACCGTCTCTTCGGAGAGAGATGCTGTACCTAATACTGAGGGGTATTCTGGAGTCAGTTCCACCTTTTCTTGGGGCTGATGCGTTACATCATCCTTTGAAGTTTCTTGAGGTTTTGATCTCCCTTCTGTCGGTGTCACTGGGGATCTCTTGGCGGCAGCACCTCCAGCCACGTCGTAGCTCATGGCTCCAGATCTGGCTTTATGCTCAACACCATCAGACTTCTTAGCAGCACTGGTAGAGAGGATGACATCTTCCTCTTTTGGAGATCTTTCTTCCATTTTTTCCTGGAAAAGGTGGGGCTTGTCTACTTTGCAGACCTCAGAACCATATTTGTCTTCAGATATTTGTGCCTGAAGACTGGCAGCTAATTTTTGGCTAATCAGTTCTTTTTCAACAGCTTCCTCTAAAGTCAATCTTTTCCCACCGCTAGCATCAACAATTCCCCCAGTCCTCATCTGGTTGGTGGCGATGAGTTTGGCCATCTCCTCATCCAGCAGCCCTTGCTCCACAGCGGCCCTCAGGGAGAGCCTCTTGCTGACAGTACCCTCCACGACCCCCCCGCTGTCTGCCTGAGCCTGCAGCAACCGCAGAGTGGGCAGAGGGTCCACCTTCCCCAGCCTCACCGCCTCGGCGCACGTGAGCTTGTTCCCCGTCACCTCATCCTTGATGGCTCTGAAGGGATGGACCTCCAGATACCTCTGGCCAGATTCAATGTCGATTTTACACTTCTTTATGAACCCTGAGTAGGGAACGATCATGCAAGTCTCGGGATCTACCATTCCTTCTTTCATTTCTGAAGATGACAGGACTTTCTCCATAACCTGCTCAGGCAGCAAGCCCTCCTTTACCGCTTGACAGAGTGCCAGTCTCTGGCCAGAAGCAGGATCAAAAATGCTTCCACTCCGAGCCTGGATTTCTTGCACTTTCCTCTGGAAGTCCGGGCTAACGAGCCCTAACGATACTGCCTGGGGCAAGGGCAGCTTCTCCTTCGTAACGGGATGAACATAATCCTGCAGGCACACGCTTTCAGCTTTCGTGAGTTCGTTACATAAATCTTGATTGATCAACCCGTGTTTCATTGCATCGTTTACCGAAAGCCTCATTCCGGACACATGATGGATGATTCCTCCATCAGCAATCTGCTTGGTCAAGAGCTGAAAAGCTTTTTCCTTTTTCAGGAGCCCTTTTTCAACAGTCTGTGCAACAGTCAAAGGCTGCTTCGTTTTAGGGTCCACAATTCCACTGGTTTCAGCCTGTAAGCTAATGAGCTTCTGTCTGGTCACCTCATCAGTGTCTTTCCCTTTGGAAGCCTTCTCCAGCTTGATCAGCTCTTTCTGACCTGTTGGCTCTATGAGGCCCAGATTTGAAGCCAAAGTGACCGATATTTTTTTGCCACGTTTCAAGTCAACGATCCCTCCAGTAACCACTTGCCCTTCCAAGATCCTCATTGCCGTTTCCTTGTCCAGAAGGCCAACTGCAGCGGCATCCTTGATAGAGTAGACAAAGTTATTGCCCGGGTCAAGAACACCACTTATCGCCTTGTCAGATGCTAATACCTTCTGGAGAAGCTTCTCATCCATCAGACCTTCTTCAATGACGTCCTCGGTGGTTAATGATTCACATGTATGCGAGTCAAAGAAGCCACTGAACATCTTCATTTTCTCCATTAGTTTCACAGCTGTGTGGCTGGGCACCACTCCGCAGGCTACTGCTTCATTTAGAAGAAGAGTCTTGCCCGTCTGCTCATGGATGATGCCACCACTTCGGAGCTGCGTTAACAGCGTTTCCAAAGTGTCCTCCGCCTCCTGCTCTGCAGGGGCTGGCAGGGATGTTTCATCAACACTCTCATCACATGGTACTTCTTGCCCCTCTCCTTCCACTTCCAGTACACTTCCCATGTCTTCCCTTTGCCTCTCCGTTTGCTCTGCCTCTCTAGTTTTAGGGAGCACAATCTCCTCTCCTCCCAGCACGCCATTCTCAATTGTTTCCTCATTTAGCAAATAAATCCCTGTAACACCTTCTGCCTCTAGTTCAGGTCCCTGCGCATCCTGAGACCTCTCTGCCGTGATTTCCACTCTATCTCTACTTTCTGGAACATCCATTGATATGCAGATTTCACTTTTCACAACAACCGCCCCACTTTCCGATGCCCTCTTCTGATCTTCAATACTTTCCACTCCATCTACCGTAGTAGGTTTGGACTCTTCTTCTGCCTCAGTCATCATTTCCTCTGTTTCTCTGAATCCACTACCAAGGTCACCGGCACGTCCTGGCGTCAATAGTTTTACCTGATGTTTGTCCTTGCTTGTAGTAGCTACTTGCTCTCTTCCAAATTCAGCATCAGCTTCACTCTTGATGGTAGCCTGTTCGGTATAAATCTGCTTTTGCTGCTCCACAAGAAGGGTGTCTTCTGCATCCTCCAACAGGAGGCTTTCAGGTCCCATCACCACCTCCCCATTCTCCAAAGCAGTTCTAGGCGGCAGGACCTTTTTGCTTTTTTCTTTTGAAGGAGCAAATTGAAACTCAAGCTGCTGCAAAGCCAAACCATTGCAAGGCTCGCTTTCGAGAGCTGCATTTGCCTTTGGCTCCTCAAAGCCTTCACTCCCTTCCAACGTGTGTGCACAGGATCCATTTTCTTGGGTTTGGATGAGGGCTTTAGTGAGATTGTTCAACTCTCCATCCACTAAGAGCAGCTTCTGGCCATCGTGGATGTTGATATAGCTGTGGGTCATCAAGTGGAACAGCAGCCTTTCGTCGTCACTCCTTAGCAGAGGGTCACTTTGCTCTCTGTGACCTGTGGGACTCCTGCCAGAAGAGCTCTGGGCATGCCTGCTTCTGCTGGGAGAGCCAGCAAGCTGCACGCTGGCCATGACATCAGGTATGGCCGTGGATTTCAGCTTCTTCGCCACATCTCTCTCCAAGATGCCATGTTCAACTGCTTTCTTCCAGGACAACACCTCAGTGGTTTCTGGTATAAAGACAGCCTTAATGAGTTGCCGCTTGCTGAGAATCTTGTAAACCAACTCCGTAGACAGGATTCCTTGCTCTAAAGCATCCGCAACCGGGACGATCTCCCCCGTCTCTGGCCACAGGAGCCCCATGAAGGACCACAGGGATTCCAGGACCACCAATGCAATCTTTGGTGCTACCAACTCTCTCCTTACAGCTTCATCAATTGTCAGTCTCTCTCCCGTGATGGTATCGATGATGCCACCTGTCTGAAGCTGCCGGATAAGAAGCGTGCATGCCAAATCCTGGTCAATTAAATTATGTCTCACGGCCTCGTCCACAGTCAGCCTGTGCCCTGTCCTGGGGTCAACAATGCCACCAGCAAAGAGGTGGGCTTCCAACAACCTGACCGTTACCTGCCTGTCTATCAGCCCTTCCTGGACCGCACGGAAGATGCTGACTTTTCTGCCTGATTTCAAGCTCACCATCCCACCCGCCAGCTGCTTGACCGGGAGCAGCCTCAGTCCAGTCTCTTGGTGGATGATGCATCGGTGCATGAGCTCGGGCAGACTGATTTTCTCAGCAGTGTTGGGGTCAATCAAATCCTTGCCACCCTCCAGGTGAGAGAGAAGTCTGGAATAAAGCTGGGGGGTAAGGAGCCTTTCTTGCACCGCTGTCTCCATGCTGATTCTGCCCTGATGGACTTTAAAGCCCCCAGTGACGAGCTCAGCTTCAAGAATCTTTAGCCCAATGCTCTCACTGATCCTCCCCTCTTCTATTGCAGTAACGACAGGTAGGAGCTGCCTCCCTTCACATCTGACTTCTTCCACCCGGTGGAGAGCATCCTTCAATTCCTGCAGCACCTGGAACGTCCTGAGGTCGATGATGTTTCTTGCCAGACCTTTCTCCAAGGAGAGTTTCTCATTGGTCTCTGGAACAACTAAGTCAGATGTGATAACCTGGGCCTCCAAGAGGGCGAGGCCAGTGTCCTGATCTATAAGACCTCTCTGCATAGCACCAAAGACAGGGAATATTTCTACCGTGCCAAGATCGATCACTCCTGCCACTGCTTCGTTGCCCTAGAACAGAAAGAGAAGGAAAAGAATTAAATCAAAATCGAGCATTGCCAGCACTCAGATTGTATGAGGTCCAGGGAGGTCTCAGTTTCAAAAAAAAAAGTTTAAAAACCCTAAACAGGCTAGAAAGGAGTCCCAAAGTGTTTGAAATGCAACTCCAAAGGCATCACAGCACGCAAATTGGTGCATTTGCTAGCTTGCACATTGCCAGCAAGTTTTAATGCTCATCTAGTCCATCACCCAGGGCAGCACGAAGATGCTTCCAACATCCACCAACAGTAACGCAGCAAAGCGGCAAGCAGCAAAACCCAGAAGTGCTCCTGATGCTCCATGGAGAAACAGAGGGAAGGAGACTAACAAGCACACCAAAGCCGTTCAACAACTCTTGTTTTAAGTAAAGACAACACAAATCCCACTGTGTACTCAGAGGAGAAAAACCCCCAAAGATGTCCACTTCAGGGTATCCAGGAACCTCTCCCAGTGCAGTTTCCACCCTGACTCCTGCCATGCTTAAACCCTGCGCTTCCCCCAGCAGATCTCGAGCGCTAGGACAGCCAGGGAACACCACAGAGCCCCGTGCCATGGAGCAGCTCCCCAGCCACACAGACCAGCCATGCATTAGGGCAGGAGCACTGCATGCAGGGCAGCTCCCCGAGCGTGACCACTGGCACCCGCTCTGCCCCGCTCCAGCACCTCAAAGTAGCTGTGCTCTTCAGGCAGGGCAAGGGCAGAAATATAAGAAGTTGGAGGTCCCAGCATGGGAACAGTGACAGGCTGGGAACAGACCATCCACTTTGGTGTTTCTGGAGGGGCTTTTCTCTTCTTGCTGGTATCCCCACAGGGAGGGTAAAAATTAAGATGATAAAGACTAACGGTTCTTCGGATGTTTGGGTTTCTCCCAGTCCCGCTGGTTGGGTATAAGGTTGGCCCAAGCACTAAAAGATTTTTGTGGGGATAGGGAGGAGGGAATCCGGATTGTGGAATGAACTCCTTTGGCATCCCCAAGACCCCCAGATATTTTTTTTTATCGGTGAGTCTAACAGCACAGGCAGCTGGGGGTGTTTGTAGCTGCGGCACAGCTCGGTTACGGCACAGCAGAGGATGCAGCCTCCACCAGGCTGGTCTGCAGTTCCCCCCGCTGCCTTCTGCTGCGGAGACAGGGTGAACCTGCTGGAAAAACCTAAGCTCTCCACCATCATCGCCAGACTCAGGCATGCACGCTGGGAGATGAACAAGCCGTGGAAAGACAGAGAAGAGGAGGGGGGAAAAAAGAGAAAGATAAAAAAGGAGGTGGGAGAGAAGGGGGTAAAAGGCTTTTACTTACCCGAGTTGCAGGGTGTGCCTTGAGCAGTTAAAGACAGAGCCTTATGGAGCAGTTCAGCCGTATCACACACAGTGTAAAGCTTGGTGTTAGCGTCCAGCATGCGACTGTTTTGTTTGCAAAAAGAACCCCACACACAGGTCGTCCTCTTTCACTTTGTGTGTTTTGTTTGTTTAAATCCCGGAGGGTTAGTTAAACTTGTAAGCAAGGATGTCAGTTAATCTTAAAAACAGTTGACATGAAACACAAACTGTACAGGGACACATCATGCTCAATTTAGCGCGTTCTGCTTTGCGTTTTTGTCTTTTATAACTTCTCTCTGACAGTTGGATGTTTCCAGCAAGCAAATGTTAAAGAGTTCCTCATGCTCCCTCTACAGTGAAGCAACTGCACCGCACAAGAGCTGCAGGGATCATCTCGTAGACGGGCCAGGAATCTACGGCGAAGCCCCGCTGCCATCTCTCATCTCGTTTCCTGGGCTTTGTCGAGAGCGTGAGTGAAAACTGTTCTAGCCTGAGCCCCAAAGCGTGCTCACGCTGTATGAAAACAGCCCGGCAGGCCCTGGAGGAGGCTTTTGCTATAAAGTCATTTTCCTGTCCAGGAGGAAGGAAAAGGGAAAGGAAAAAGCATCCTTTCCACAGGCAGGCTGCTCTCAGCTGCTCTCCTGGCAGCAGCATCAAAGCCATGATGGCTTAGCGGCGACTAACAAAGTCGGTTTGCTCATCATAAGCTCTCTGCTGCCAGCACAAGGGCTAAAGGGCTTGCAACAGAAAGCATTTACTGCACTGAGACACCTGAAATGTGCTATAAAGTCCAATTTGGAGAGAATCACTGTATGTTTAGGTAAAAGCTGGACAGGCAGATTTCAAACAAGCAGCCCCGGCGCCTTCCTCCCATGAGTGGCTCGAACAGGGCTTCACTCATGGACCCAACAGCCAAAACCTGCATCATGCATCCAGATCTGAGCGGGCCGTTGCTTCAGAGTACAGGGAGCCAGCAAGCAAACACACAAATATATCCATCGACACATGTATATACACTTACATAACACGTACACGTATATCTGTGAATGACCGAAGACAGCTCATAACAGAGGCAATAAGGATGTGCTTTCAGCCCTCCCTACCCAGTGGAGCAAGGATGGGGACTGACGGGAGCGCTGGTGGATGTGAACAGGGAATGGGTCCAGCTACAGGTCGTGAAGGTCGCCCAGGTCAGCTGAGGGCCTGGACAATGCAGTTGCCTTCCACTGGGGAGAGCAACTTCATTCAGCCACAGCCGAGACAAACCTCTCAGCCAGACCCTGAGGTATACGAGACCGCACGGGCAAATGCCTTTCTGCAGAAACCCACCTTCTTGCGCCTCCTGCACGCAGGCAGCCTGTGAGATGGAGCCCTCTGCGGTTAAAGCACTGAGAGGGCATTCCTCAGAGGGCACAGATTTGCTAAGGGGACCGTTTCCAGGACAGAGGTCCACCTACGTCCTCGCCCACCAAGCATGAACAAGCCAACCTTTGTGCACAGGGCAGAGCTCTGACGAAAACCATTGCAAAGGACAACTCTCCCATTGACCTGGAAGGCAGCAGGTAAACAGCTCCTGCTTGGCCTCCAGGGACCACCCCAGCCGGGATGCTTCAGGTGATGCATGGACAGAAGAGAAGGGAGGGCAACCACGTGCAAGTAAGAAAGTCGACGGGCCGTGAGCGGCTGGTGGCCACGAGACACGCAACCAAGCAAAACCTTTTTCACACCCCGAGGAGTGCCCCGTGTCCGTGCAGCCACGGGACCGAGCGGGGACCAGTACCTTGTGCTCCGTCTCCTGAGCCAGCTGGCTCTGGAGCTGCTGGAGCTGCTCCGTGGAGTCGCTGCAGAGCGCCTGGTAGGTCTCCTTGAGGGCACCGATCCGAGCGGAAATCTGTTCCTTCTCCGGATGGGAAAGCCTGCAAGGGGAAGGGGAAATCTCTCAGGGAAACTGCACAAACCAGCTCCCAGCTCTGCAGAATTAACATGTTCTTCTGGTGAAGGAAAAGGCCAAAGCCACCACGAGTCCCCTCTTCCCACTGCCCTCCTCCTCACCCAGCTCAGCTGAAACCAGCAAGGGTAATTGTGCTCAGCAAAGGCTGACCCACATTTTAGTGTTCAAACCCCCAAATATACAAGGCTGGATCACTACTAAAGGGGATTAATATTGTCCCAACAGATAAATGGGTTGCATATTTCCTAGCTCTTGTTGCAGGTAAGAAAGAAGACAACTGTCACGTGCAGCTCATCGCTGTTTTTAACGGGAGTCAGACACTGGACCCCAGAGACGCCAGCCCGCCAGCGCCAGCTCAGAGGTATCTCATCTCACCCCACTGCTCTCCCTGCCTGTCCCCTCCTCGGGCCACACTCACTTGTGGCCGTGTTTTGCCAGGAAGATTTGTGAAGTTTTGATGGCCTCAGAGACCTGCTCCTTCTTTGCGGCCAGCTCCTCATTCAGGGCCTGTCGGGGGGGAAAAAAAAAAAGAAAGAAAAAAAGAAAGCAGCTTTATTCAGCTGTGGAAAAAGAGCAGAAGTTAAACAAACTGCCTGACGGTTGCCCCCCATTTACCTGCTGTTCCGAGATGGATTTCTCAATGTCACCCAGCTCTCTGCTCCCGGCAGCAGCCGTCCTGCCTTGTACACTCTGCTTCAAGCCCAGGGCCCAGCCCAGGAGTTCCTTCACCTTGTCCACGTGCTCCTGCTTCTCCTCCTCCACTACTTTCTGCAAACAGAGAAGGGAGGAAGGTCACCACGTCAAAGGGGTCCCGGATTTCCAAAGGCAGAGAAGTTCTCAGGAGCAGCGCCCGAGATGTAACCTCAAGACGGAGCAGCATCCTTGGGGGAGCTAGGAAATGAGCCTGCGCATTTTGAAGAGTTCAGTTCCATACAACACCCTTACCTCCTCCTCCTCCAGCCGCCGGAGAGCATCGCTGATGTACTTCACGTGCTGCGTGGTTAACGTCACCAGAGCTGTATAGCGAGTCCGCAAATCCATGAACTGCGAAGGGAGAGAGGGGGAAACGGGGCGCATCAGTCACGACCGGCGGATCCGGAGCGACGTACTTTACAGTACATGACAGGGATGCACCATCTCTCGCTTGGGAAGCCCCCCGGGCACCTTGCAGACCCAGTGTGGCATCAATGAAATGCAGCAAGTCTGACGGGGAGGGTTGTGGCCATACACGGCATGCTGGACAACACTGGAGCGAAGGGGAGACTCCGGTCATGGACACTGGGGTGGATGCTCAACTCTTACAAGAGGGCTACCGGGATCTTTAATATCCACACGGAGCAGACAGGACCTTGGGTCCCTAAAGGTCTCATCCCAAAGATCCACACACAGTAATGCTGCATGGCACTCTGATTATTTACCTCGCAAGGCTGAAGGGCTGAGCCGATCCCGCTGGATTTGACCCAGGGGTTCCCAGGAGTCTAGGTATTTCATACCTGGTGCTTAGAGCACTAAGCCATCCTCTCTGGCTATCGGAAAAAACAGCGAGGGTGGAAACTTTATTTATACAAGAGAGTTCAGCAGAAAGGAGCTCATTTCACAGAGGCTGCTTGGCGGTTTGCTCAGCATCGAAGAACCCCCCTGCCCAATTTCTCCCTCGCAAGGTCGGGCGGGCGGCCGCGCTCCTACCTCCTGCGTGATGGCGTCCGAGGACGAGAGCATGCGCCGGCGTTTCATGGGAGACTTCTGCTGCGACTCAACAAACGCCCTGTACGTCATGAGCTGCAACTCGTAGTCCTGCAAACGCAACCAGGGGTGGAGAGACATGGAGCATGCGAGATGCAAACTGTGCTGGGGCCGTTTCTGCCCAGCCAGCCTTGTCTAGGTGCAGGAGGGGACCCGTACCTTGACAGCAGCCGAGTATTGCTGGGAGAATTTCTGACACTGGTCCAGTTTGGCTTGATTTTTCTCGATTTCTGCAGCCAAAGCCTTCAACAAAATTCAAAGCAAAAATGGTTGCCAGGACAGCTGCTGCGGGTGCTGAGCTGAATTTCAGTCCCCATCCCTCCCCTTTTGGGTCAAGTCTTTATCCTCTTTAATTTTTTATGCAAGGCCTCATTCTCCACTGCAAGCTAAGCAGAGTTTCTCTGCTTCCCAGACACCCAGATCAAGCCTGCAGCCTCTTCCCCACTGTGTTTCATATTTTCAAGCTCACAGATGAAAAGATTGCAGTGAAAGAAAAGGACGCGGCACGCCATCGAGACATCACAAGGTCCTGTCTTACCGTTTGCTGGCTCAGCTGCTCCGACAGCACCCGGCTGTCCTCCGCCTGCCCGGGCTTCATCAGCTCCTGCTGGACCGTGATCTCCTCGATCCACTGGATTAGGGCACTGTGGCACTGCCGGTAATCACTCAGCACCTCCTGGATGCTCTCCAGCTCCGCGTGGCTGAGAGAAGAACCAAGACAAATAAGAGGAGGGCGAAATGCCACCGTAGGCTACAGGGATATCCCGGCCACCAGCGGGAATCCCATCTGGAAAAATACTGCTGCTAACAAGCCTGGCCCAAGCTCTCAGCTGAAGCATGAAAGTAAATCTGCGAAAGGAGGCAGGAGGTTTCTCACCGGGTCTCAATCTGGGCGCAGACTCGCTGCCAGCGATCCCACAGCTGGCTTCCCTTCTCCTGATAGCGCTCGAGGTCGATGCTGCGCTCTTGTCTCAGCCGGTACAGCTGCTCTCCCACCGCCTTTGCCTTTGCCATCTCCTCCTCCAACGTGGAGAAGACAGAGCTCTTGTCCTTCGCCTCTCCAAGCCATTGCTGCAAAACCAGCAAGAGACAGCACCGGTTCAACGTCACGGAAAACAAAAGGCACATTAAGTCGGAGCTGACAAGCCTGAAGAAGGGGTTTATTCTCCCTCTCTGCAAAGAAGAGATTACAGGAGGTGCAAAATGGGGGGGATCACGTTCCCAGCTTGGAGCAAGTCAGATTGGTTCAGCCCCTGTCCTACAGCAGCAGGACACGTAGCTGCCAAGATGCTCACAGGTATCAGCATGTGCCCTACAAGAGAGAGCACAAGCCATAGCAGCTCCTTTACCTTTACAAAGCAGTACGGGATCACATAAGCAGCACAAAATCATCCCGGCAGCTATACCGAGGCAAGAAAAATGGCATACAGTGCAAGTTCAGCAGAGAAAGGGAAGGACCCTGCTTGACAAACGCCAAAGCATTGGCTGGTTTCTGCCTGCCCGCCTTGGGAAGTGAACAGCACCAACCTGTAACGCCACTCTGTGAGACTGAATAGCTGCCAGGTCAGCGGGGACTGCCTCCTCTTGGCTCAGCTTAACCTCATACCCTTTGACCAGAGACTCCGCGCCTTGGGTGTTACGAATAATAACATCAACTGTCTTCAACCTGGCAAATCAAACAGAGGCAGCACAATGACATCCAAAATTTCGCGCAGATCCTCTTGATCGCGAGGCTGTTTGCACCGTGTGCCGCAGAGGGATGGAGCTCAGTGCAAGGTGTGTTGGGGGGCCAGAAGAAAGGTCTTTAGCAGAATCAGACAGATACAAAAAGGAATTCGGGAACAGAGGCACATCCCGACTCACTTGTCCAGGTAGATGGAAGACAGCCCATACATCTGGTCCATCTTGTTCACCACAAAGTCAAGTTCAGAACGCAAATGGGGCGTGCTGGACCCCACGGGCGCCTTGTCAAGGAAGCTGTAGCATCTCTCAGAAACGAACCGCAGGTCCGATTGCAGCCGCTGCAGATCCTCCTGCATGCGCTACGGGAGGAAGGGAAAGAAGGTGAAAGGAGAGCCCAAGCAGGTGGAGAAAAAGCAGGATTGCCCTTGGCAAAGGAGATGGGTATGAAATGAAGCAGGGAGCCCACCTGGAGAGGTTTCCTGCTACTTTCTGTGCAGCAAGATCCCCTCGAACCCCACACAGTCACGCACCCACCACCCACACGTTCACCCTGGAGAAGTTAAAAGCTATTTTTGGCGCATGCTAAAGACCAGCGGCCACCATCTCCCTTCCCCTCCACATCTCACAGCAGCAGCACTGACCTCCTGCTCTGCAATGCGGATGGTGTTTTCCTGGATGGTGTCACCATCTGCTCGGGCGCTGCTCGGGGACTGGATTCGGCTCACTAGCCTCTGCTCACGCTCCTCCAGGCGCAGACGGATATTCTTCAGCTCTGAGAGGTACGTCCTGGCAACGGTCTCATCCTTGTCTTCTGCGAGTCACAGACAAACCAAAACAGCAGCTCAAACAACCCCGTCTGGTATCTGCCCCAAACGGGACCTGCCGGAGCCCCGGAGCCAAGCGCAGCATCGCGCTGACACCGAGTCACCAGGGTCTCTGCTTAGACAGAAAACAAGTTAATCAAATCATCTCATTCAAACGCAGTTGAGAATGAGTCCAGCCACAGGGCACCTCGCATGATGAAGCTGGAGTCCCCAGTCTTAGTGGGACTCAGTCCTGCTGTGTCATGCCGGGAGCCATCCGCTGCTCTGAGCAGCGGGACTGTGGCTGCCGCATATATTTTCTTAAATATTAAATGCAGGAAGAACTCCTTGCTCAGAACGTGTCCCGACTAATGACTAAACCCATCTCCAACAATATTAGGGTAAGAGGACTCAGCAGTTAAGCTGAAGCTGCAAAGCCAAGCCCTCTCTGCACATCACTGGACAAAGGCCGAACAACTTGAATGGATGGAGAAATAAGGAGAGCAGCTGCTCACACCGTCAACTAGCTAGCTCAGGAAAAAAAAAGGAAAATGAAGCCATCCCGTAAATCCTTTGTTTATGAGTCCCCACAGCTCCTGGTTAATCCATCAGCCCTTTGAAGCTCACCGTTCTCCATGGACTCCAGCAGCTGCCGGATGTGTTCCTTGGAAGACTCCACTTCCTCCTCCAGGCGTAGCCGGTCCGACACCGAGAAGAGCTCCGAGTCCCGGCTGTCCTGCAGGAAGTCCTCGTAGTGCGCCTGGAGGCTCTTCATGGCTTGCTGGCACTCCCCTTGCGCTAAGGATCTGAGCTGCAAGTGGAAAAGCAGCACATCTAACCACCGGGAACAACTTCCTACGCATCACCTGAAGCCACCCTCCCCGGCTTAATCACCTTCGTTTGCCAAGCGGGTGTTTTCTCTTTAGAGGAGAAAAGGCAAGCTCCTCTGTATCAGCCTCATGCCTCCCCCTCCAGCCTTGCTCACTCCCTAATGAAACGCTAAGTCCACAATCTCTTATGCCTATTACAGCTCAGGAGCAAACTGCTGATGCTCTTTTTATGGGGAAAAACTGCTATTATTTTGCACAGAACCCCTAAGCTCAGCCACCACCACTGCTCAAGGTGCAAAGACCCTTGACTTCCCCAACCTTGCAGTCTCTGGTCTTCCCTTTGACACTTCCTTTCCTCCTCAGCCACGCAAAGAAGCCCGGACAGTGAGCAACGCAGCCCCGGAGGCAGGCAGAGAAGTTCCTACCGTACCTTTTCGATGCTGAAGCTTTGCACCAGACCTATGTCCTTCCGCAGGTAGTTCCAGGAGATGAGGCTCTTTGTGTTTATGTGGAGCTGGTGCCAGAGAGCCATCACTTTCTGGTACAACTGTTCTACCCTGCAATGGGCAGGAGCAGATCCGTGAGCCCTGGATCCCCCCAGCACGCTCAGCCCTGACCCTGTCAACCCACCAGCCATCGCTGCCAGCCAGCAGCCCATCAAGGCAGCGATCCCAGCCTGGCAGCCCGCAGCGAGCGATGCTCCCGTTCTTCCATGCCAGAGATCCCTGGAGGGACCCCTCCTCACAAATCACCATTTTCTCTTTTGCAAGCTACTATAGCAGTTGCTGCGATGGAGTTTGCAGCTGTATAACCATGAGGGATTCCCTCCCTCGCCCCGAATCAGCTGTGCCACCCACTCCTATTCCTCCACCCCAGCTCCTCTCCCATTCCCTCCCCAGATCTGTCCCCTCCCATGCCACCACCCCCCCCCCCATCCCCCTGCCACTGCACCTCTGGGACTCCCCGGCAGCAGAGACCAGCAGTTTACCTGTTGGCCATCTCGATGGCCTCTTTGTTGGGCGGGGGGATCAGGAAGCAGACGGAAGGCACCATGGCCTCGTTCCCCGTGGGACTGATCACCTTCCACTTGGTCCTCTGGGAATTGTCCTCCAGCACGCACTCGTCATTCCTGCAGATGGTGATCTGCAGCGGCACCAACACCACCCGGCCCGTCAGAAACCAGCAGCAGGGCTGCACACGCCCGCCCTCGCTGCCAGCTCCCCTCCTGGGGGCGAGCCAGCTTCCACAAACACAGAGAGAGATATATATGTATATATTTTAATCAAGCAAAAGCTTGGTATAGTGCCAAGCAGTGCAGCACGCTCATGTCTGGAGAGGAAGGGACAAGGAAGTTAAACGGAGTTGGCTACCACCCACGTGCTTATTTGGCTGAGGCTGATAAAGCCCATCCTCCTTGGGGAAAAGGACCTTAGCTCCTGCCCAGAATAAATCTGAGACATGGAAATCCGCTCCAGGAAAAACAGCCGTGCTATTTCCCTCCTCCTGTCTTCCCACTCCGTTCCCGCTTTCCATTGAGAAACACCGCAGAGCTCATCCTAAACCATCACGGGCGTTGCTCCCCTGCCTCGTCCCTGCCTGCCCTTTCAAAGTCACGCCGACACCCTTCCAGTCCTCACCTCGATCTGCCGATAGTCACAAACAGCCTTGATGGGGATCGTGCTCTTCACAAGGTGCTCTGGGTTCCTGGGCCGGAGCTGAACGATGGTTTTGGACCGTCCCACCAGGCTGGCGACGGAGCTCTTCGACTGAATGAGCTGCTCCTTCTCATCCTGGCAGAAAGAAGGATGAAGGACGGGTTGCTCGAGGCAGGGGAGAGGAGGTCTCTCCCAGGCATCTCGGCACCCCCCACCCCAATGCTGGCCTGCAAGAGCTACACTGGGACCTCAAGGGTTGAACAAACGTGTCAGGAGGATCCTGCTGCCCTAACGGGATGGGAGGAGGGGGTCAGGAGGTGGGATGGAAGGGAGAACGGACTTCAAGTCAGGGTGGGACCTCTCCACTACTACTCCCGCTGCCCTGCCAAGCTGCATGCACGCCTCTGGCTCCTTTGCTGCTAGGACAAGAAAACATTTTCTTTCAAAAGGGAAAAACAGAGAACACAGCATACACCAAAATTGAAGTCCCAGGAGGTGTAAGGGGCCAAGAGCAGGACAAGCTCCAGCCCAAAGCCAGGGACGTTTAGTTGTCTGAAGGAGAGACCACAGAAACATGCTCCCTTTTCTAAAGCAAAGGATGAAGGCATGTTTAAACCAATGGCTGGAATGGGGATACGATGAATTATGCAGATAAAACATCTCAGGAGAAGGGGCTAGTGGTGGAGTGATCGCACAGGTCTCTGGGTTTGGGTAGAAATTTGCCAGTTGGAGGAAGATGCTGCGTAATTGATTCCCACAAGTCCCCGCTGGGTTCGGTGATGGGACAACCCGGTAGACTGGTGGCAAAGCTCCCCTGGGAACAGCCTCCGGCACCGATGGAGACGTGTGCGGATCACGACACTGGCAGCTCGTGTGATTAGTGGCAGCTCAGCCCGTTCTGGCTGCAAAAGTTTAAAAAGGATCCCAGAAAAACGTTCTCCCTCATGCTTGGTACTCTCGGGGTCGGTTAGTGCGCTAACAACAGTGGAGGATAATTTAATGGCAAAAAAAAAAAAAGAAAAAAAAAGAAAAGAATAAATGATTAAATAAACTACCTGTGCCTGTCCCAGGGAGCATGATTGGAAGAAATACAACTTTAACTTATCAGGTAAGAAAGAGTAATATAGCTGAGCTCAGGGTAGCTGCCCCAGTCCTGAGATCGTGGCCACTCTCCGGCTGCCCGGACGAGTCTCTCCCACCCCGGACGGCACCTGCCAGGCTTCTGGTGTTACAGGGCTCGCAAATACAGACCCCAGGAGCCAGGCTGGCTGCTCCGTGTCCTGGTAGTGCTGGAGGACAGACCAGGATGAGCCCGAGACCATGACAGAGAGGATGGGACCTCCCAGGCCTCCAGGAGAGAAGACGGCGAGCCCTAGCCCAGCTGATGCACCCATCACGAACGCCCAGTAACGGCATCCCAGCTTCACCGGGGACACGCTGGAAATCGGTGGTGTGCACCGAGAGCAAAGCCAAAGCAGCCACCTGCCTCCACACCCTCAAATGTCACCTCCTTCCACTTCCACCAGTGGCTCAGCGGTCAACCCACAGCCCAAATCCTCCCCCGTCCCTGGTTTCAAACACCATCGGATGCTTTGCTCCTTGGGTTTTGTTTTTAGGTTGGGTTTTTTTCAGGCCAATTCAGACAAGAAGATCACAGCGCGATTGCCCATCATCTGCCCTCTGCTACACCGCAGCTAAGCCAGGCCGTGTGTTTGGCGACAGCGCTGCCGAGCCCCCAAGCCCCCGTTCCCCACGCCGCATCGGGCTGCCCTGGCTCTCTCCACACCGGCACAGCGCGATGGGATTTGGTCTGGATGAAGAGCAGGCGTTTCTCCACATCCCGCCACGCTCCGAGCGAGCACCAGCTCGAGAGCAGAAACAGGAGCATCCTACAGGCTCCGCGCGACAGGTCCGTCAGCAGAACACGACCGGCTCCATGCAGACCAGGATGGCATGGATGGGCACCGATGGGGAAGAACCAGCTCACATGTCAAGCTACGAGTTTGCACGGGCAGCGCACACCGCCTGCTCTTCACCCCGAGGACACAGAAAGACACTGGACTGCGCCTCTAAACGAAAGCGACCCATCGGCTGTTGTAACGACCGAGATCCGGCTACCATTTGCAGCTCCACGCAGCGGTACAGCTGGGGTCGCACACAGCCTGCACCCCCCACGGCCACGTACGAACACATGCGGCAGCTCCAACGAAAAGCAGAACATTGACCAAGACGGGGAAACAAACCACGTTACATGAAACTGCGTCGCTGTGGGAATAAAATGAGCTCAGTTTTCCTTGGGCAGCAAAAGACGCCCCAAGCAATGCTGCTGGACCGGAGCAAGAAGGCCACCCATCGCCCGCCCAGGGTGGCAGGGATGTCGGAGAACCCACCATGGAGTCCTGCAGCAGGTCCTCCAGCCGCGTCAGGCTCGTGTTACGGTCGCAAGAATACTTCCTTTTGATGGAGTCCTGCAGGTTGCGCAGGTAGGTCTCCGACTCCCGGGCGTCGCTGAAGAACTGCAAAGGCAAAGAGGGTCACGGGAACCTGCACAAGGCCAGTGCGCAGTCAGCAGCACACTGCGGGCAAGGGACCACCCCAACATCTCAACCAGCAGCTCCCGATGCTATTCTGGCCTTAGGGCTGCAAGGGCAGCGAGCATCCCGCGTGGATGGCCAGAACTACGTGGAAGTTGATCCCTTTTGCCCTAGCGAGACATCCCCAGAGAGCAGCTAAGGAGAAAGAGATGATTCGGGAGAAAGCAGCCCCCACGAGCACCACAAATCCCTCCTTCCCTCTTCCCCGAAGGGAGCAGCAGCGTATGAAGCTCACGTAGCGGGATGCAGCAGATGGTGACCAGGGAAATTTGGGACGCCCCTCCCAAGTACCTGGAAGTAGGCAGCGTTCTCTTTCACGTGCTGTTCCACGCACAGGCAGAGCTGCTTAATCCACTGCCACTGAGTCTGCACGGCAGCGCTGTAGGCCTGAGAAACACACACACCAAACGGCGATGAATAACGAGCTTTTACCAGCCGGGAGGGTCACAGGAAGGACAAAGCTGCAGCCGGCGGGATGTACATAAACAGGCAAGATCTGGCTGCAACCAGGAGGGTTGGGACACAGGCACGAAGAGCAGGAGGTGGCAGACCCTGGACCGGCGATGCCGGGGGCTGTGGCAGGCACAGATTTGCTTTCTCTCACCCCAGAGAGAAACACCAGGGGAAGCAAAACACCCTTTGCTTCACCACCACGGTTTTCCTGGAAGCCGGGATAACTCCAAGGGAGCTGAGGCCATTCCCTGCATCACCTCGCTCCAGGAAAGGCTCACGCTCTGTACAAGCGTATCTGTGCCTTAATTTGAGGTGGGGATTATTTGGGAACGGCCTCGAGCTTCTCCTTGCACTCCCCAGAATAAAACAGCTCTATCACTGCACTGATGTTCTTCTGCCACCATAAAACACTTTATCAGCCCTGGCTGCCCGTATGGGCACCCTGGGGTGGGACAGCAAGTTTCCCAATCCTGGGCGAGAAGATTTGCTGCCAGCCGATTCTCGGGGCTCCTCCCGGCTCCTCCGCGTGCCCACTCACCTCTACGGTTTGCTTGGCCGGGTGGTTCTCCAGGGACAGCAGCTCGGCTGTGTCTTGGAGGGAGCGGAAAATGTCCTGCTTCTCTTCCAGCTCCATCGTCAGCTCCTGCGTGAAGGACACAAGCAAAGTCCAAACCTCAGCCACGGGGAGCAGCCTCACTCAGACCATGCGTCCAACTAACACAACACGCAGCATGGAAGCGCTGCAGTAAACACCGGCGGGTCTCAGGGAAACCAGCACGGCTTACGGGAGCGCCACAGCCGACTCCCATCAGGATTGCCTCCCGCGCACCAAACACACGGGGCAGATGTAACACAGATACTGGAAACCTGCCCGGGGACCTATTCAGCTCCAGACAGTGCAATTGTGGAAAGACAGCAATTTATTTATACTGCTTTAAAGAGGAATCAATTTTCCTCTTTAGCTCAGCCTTTCCCCCCCCCCGCTAAAGATGCCTTTAGTTCCAAATAGTGCTAAAAAGCCATCTTCTGATGCCCTTTCAATTAAAACTCAATTGAACAAACACTTGTTTGCCCTTTCTGCTCTAGGGAGAGCTCTTTCATCAGCTGCACTCATGAGCTACAAGCTCCGTGACTTGGGAGGGAGCATCCAACCTCTGGGGACTTCAGGTCTGTTGGTAGCTGAAGGTCCCGCAGCAGATCAAAAGCAGCAACCAAGAGAGCACCCTTCCCACCAGCCCTGCCCCGGGGTCACTCACCGAGAAGTAGTTTTTCTTGGCTGCAATGTTAGGGTTGTTGTCGCTCCAGTCGTAGGCCAGTTCCTCCTCCTCCTTCTCATTCAGCCAAATCAGCTCAGCAGTGGCCCGAGACACAAACCCGTGCAAGCTCTGGAGGTGTCTCAGCCGGAAGCTCGAGGTTTCCTGAACACAACGAAGCGTGATCCCTCTTCCCTGCTCTGAAGGTTTCTTCCCCCCTGCCCAGCTTCGGAGCAGGGATGCTCAGGAGCAGGGCGGCAGGGATGGACCCCGCGCTCCCCGGGCAGTGCTATAAGCCCACTCGAAGCCCACTCACCATCAGCTTGCAGTACTGCGTCTCCAGCTTGCCAAGCGTCTCCGTGTAGCTAGCGCGGAAATTCTGAGACATTTTACCCTGAAGGATGAAAAATGCTCCTGTCACCCGACACAGGACGGCATCACCTGAAACCCCATCTCCAAATCCTTCTCCCCAGCTTTGCGGGAGCAAAAGGAGGCGCAGAGGACGGCATCTTGCACCAGCTCAGCGTCAATTCAGAAGCTCTGTCCTTAAAAAATACCTCTGCCCCAGGCACCTTTACCCACAAGAGCCGATCCTGATGCCCTCACCTTCCCGCACACATTGTGCCACGCACTGTGTCCCCCAGCCCGTGCCACCATACCTCGTACATCCGGGCCTCCTTTACGCTGGAGCCCAGGTCCTCCACGCTGGTGTGGACGTGCCGCTGGGTCTCCAGCTGGGTTTCCACGCTCGGCAGGTCGCTCCCCCACTCTGCCCGCTCCAGTCTCATCTGAAACAGGCCAAGAGGTCCGAGTCAGCACTCCTCATCTGCAGGACTATATCTCAAAAGGACATGAGGGCAAGGAAACCTTGAGGGTCACTCAAGAGGGAACAAACACCATGCCTGGTAGAAGGTCCTAAGCCACTGCTCCAATACTGAATGACTTCTGAGACAGCCTACACAAGCTGCACACCCACATAAGACTAAAGGACTGACTGCATCACTACAGATTTGCTTCCAGCTTTGAAAGGATCTTCTGGTACCCGCCGATCAGCAGGATCACGAGAGAGAAAACCCAGCTGAAGACAAAAGTGTCGGTGCTCTCCAGAAACTTTGAACCATCAAAGCAATTATCCGCAGATAAAGGCAGGAAAAAGTCCAGACCAGCTTCCTACCTTTCCGCATCAGTGTGAGCGGAGGCAGGTAATTTGGCCCAGGAGAGCCAGCACTCACCTGCATTTCCTCCACCCATGCCAGCAGCTCGTACACGAACCGGAGGCTGCCTTCGTCTTCGGAAGAGGAGATGGCCACCAGCTCTGTCCTAGTCATGGGCTTCCGGAACCAGGAGGCAGAGGAGGTGTGCAGCCCTTTCGTCAGGGACTCGCCCTTCAAGTGCGTCGTGCTCAGCGTGGAAGTGGGCACCAGCTCCAAGGTGGAGAAGTGGCCTTTCCTGTACAGGTTAGTGCATTCCAGCCTCAGCGTCACCAGCTCGTCTTGCAGCCGCATGATCCTGGAAGAGCAAGCAAGGCACGGGTAAGAAGATGCACGCACACTCCTTCCCTCCCCACAGTGGAGTAGAGGAGCCCCATGCGTCAGCCCCCGACCACGTTTCTCCATCCACAGACCATCTCGGATACGGCGCCTCTCACCTGAACACCAGCTCCTCCAGCTGGTAGTAATTCTCGTCCCGAAGGATCTGCACATCCACCTGTAGCTGGCGGATGAGCCCCTCGCACTCCTGCAGATACACGACCACGTCGGATTCGTACTGCACCGGCTGGCCCGACTCCAGGTGAGCAGCGTCCTGCACCGAGAGAGAGGAGACTGAGGGCTGGGTCCCCTCAGCCCGGGCACGTGGGCAGAGAGAACACGCTAGCAGCCCAGCATCAACTTTAAGACCAAAAAGACCTTTTGATCCACAAGCTTGACTTGAGCAGAAGAACATGAGTTCATTGCTCACACCACACGCAGGACATCCGCTTTAGAAAAGCTCCTGCAGATGAACCGAGAGCAGCTAGTGATAGATGGGCTCCCGTGGTTAGTCCCGTGGGCAGTCACTTAAACGTGTGTCTCATTTCTTGCTCGGGTTTAACCATTTTTAGCTCCCAACCCTTACATCTCTTTCTCCCAGGACAAAACACCCATCTTCAGAAATCTACTCCCTACCCAGGTAGCTACAGTCCGCAACCGAGTCCTTTCTGCCAGTCTTTTAGACAAATAAAACAGATTTTTGGGTTTTTCAGCCTCATTATACAACAAGTTTTCCCAGAACTGCAGTTATCCTCCAAACCAGCACCTCTGCAGACGTCCAACCTCGCTAGCTGCATCCCCAGAGGCAGCCTGCTGCACGGCAAGGCCGTTCCCCTGGCCCCCTGGCCTCAAGGTCCTCATGCCATAGATCACCAGGTATCCACCACCGCCCCTACAGCCCCTCTGGGATAGGCTCAACGTCAGAAGAGAAAGGAAAGCTGGCCAGGGGAACCCACCACCCCACGCAGAAGAGAGGGGAAGAGATGGGCATAAAAGAAGAGGCAGTAAAACAAAAAAAATAAATAAAAAAAAATAGGAGGGGGAAGCTAACACCCCCCACTCACAGCTTGCAGCGTGTTCTTCGCGAGAGTGAGTTTTTCTTCACAGCTCAGAGCACCATTCTGGATTTTGTTAGCGATTTGTAGCAGCAATTCCAGCCTGCGATGACAGAGGGAAAAAAGAATGAGAGAGGGGTTTCGGGACATCCCTCCAGCCAGGGGAGCGGGGGACGTCCCCACAGGGGACTCTGCCTGCCGCGGGCAGAGCGCTGACCTCTCCACCGCCGGCCGCAGGAGCTTCTCGCGCTCCAGCATCTCTATGATGAGCTTGCCCCACTCCTCCTCCACGTCGTTGGGGTGGTACCCCTGGGGCAACTTGATGCGTCCAAATTCGATCCATACCTGGGGAAAACATCAACACAATGGCATTTCCTACCTCCTCGAGCTGGCCAGAGAGCGCTTACAGCAAGGAAAGTGGGGCTATAAGGCAACAGCTCTGCCTCCGCTCCTGCAGCGTGCTGCCTGCTACATCATTTACCCTGAGGGTTATTTCTACTTCTCCATTCCAAAATAAACCTGAACCGAGCACACTTTAGTCTTGCTAAAAGCCCAACACTCCCACCTACAAGCCTCCGGGCAGCCACGATGATACTTACCTCTAACAGTTTGTAGAGCTCCTCTATCCTTCCTTTTTCCTGCTCTTTCGCTGGGATTTCAGTTTCTTTGAAGTGTATGTACTGGTTATAAAGTGCCTGGGATGAGAAAGGCTCATCAGAAACCACCCTGGGGAATGCCACCACCCAGCTCCTGGTGCCGAGCACATGGGACACTGCAGATGGACCTCGTCCAGGACCTACCTTTAGCTCTACAGGGTTCTGGGGGAAGGATTTATCTGACATGAGTATCGTGTGCTGCTTGATCCATGAGATGAGGGACTCCACGCAGCTCTGGTACTCCAGCCACCTTGAATCCACCTCCTGCGGGGTGAGAGCGCCCTTGCAGAGCACTGCCAGCGGGCAGGTCTCCGCGGGGAGAAGCAGAGCCCAGCCCTGCCGAGCAGAGCGCGGAGGGAACCGAGGTGCCACGGTCACAGCTACGGGGTGGATCATTCGCTTCAGCCTCCCTGCTGTGATGCCATCCCAGGTACGGGAAGGAGGAGGAGGAGGATCCTCCTCGCAAGCTGCTCCCTGAAAGCCAGCTCAGCTTTCCCATGAGCTCAAAACCTGTGGCAGAGCTTGCAGAGCCTGGAGAACGCGCGACCCTACAGGCACACTGGCAGTTCATTGGGCAGACACGCTAAGGGGGAAGCTCCTTCCTCCCCCCGAGCCTCTTCCACCCATCAGCCAGCTGCTACAGCGGACAGGGAACCTCCAAACCCTTCCCCGCAACAACCAGCTGCCTCCCAAATCGCTGTCCCAGCCTCCCAACCTGCAGCGACACTTACGATAGCGCTGATCCCTTCTCCTCCCTCGGGGACTTTGGGAAAGGCATCGTAGATTGAAGACACGTAAGTTATCACGGATTTCTCGTCCGGAGAGGGGACATCCACGTCTGATAAGGGGGAAGGAGAAGGGGAGTGAGGAACAGGAGCGGGAGAAGAGGTCAGCATTTCCCTGCACCAGCCACTTCCCCCAGCCACCCACCTTCGGCATCCAGCAGCCGCGTGACCCCCAGCCGCTCGGCGATCTCAAAGGCCTGCTCCAGGTTCTCCCGGTTACTCTGGATCTGCACCCTCTCCATGTCCACCAGATCTGGCCTGCAAGACACGCACTGGCGTCACAACGTTGGCAAACAGCGCAAGGTGCCCAGGGCAGAGCATCCCGGATGGGCACCACTGCCCTGGGTGGCTCCCGAGGGCTCATCAGAGCCCCTGTCCCAGGCTGGTGGCTATCCGAGGGGACCTGGCCTGCAGCACCTTCCCCCTTTGGGAAGGGGATGTTCAGCCTGTGAAGGAAAACCTCTCGTGCTCCTCTGGGACCTGCCCTCTCCAGCACCCGCTCTGTGCCCAGCATGCCGGGCTGGGACTGCAAGCCCTCCCTGGAAGGAGTTGCATGAAACAGCCCCAAAGCGGGGTGGTTACACCTCTCCGGAGGACGTGGGCAGAGCCCTTTGCCCGCAGCAGAGCGGAGGGGAGGCGGCAGTCACAGGTGCCGCCAGCCCTGTGCCGGGAGGATACACCGGCAACAGAACAGCGCCAGCAAGCCGCAGCACAAACGACGCGCAAACGAGCACAGCGGAGCCAGGAAAATCCCAGGCTCTGCGCACCGCGCCGTCCCGGTGAGGTCTGCTCCCCACCACGCACCCCATCTCCTGCCTGCCCCGGCCTGCAGGAGCTTCGCGTGTCCTTCGCTGCTAAACCCTGCCCGCTCCTCCCGGCCACAAGCGAGCACAGAGCAGCACGGGAAGGCAGCGCTATTTCCAGCTGCCAGGAGATGCTTTCTCATGGGGCCTTTGCTATTCTCCTTCAGGCACTCAAAGCCGTGCCAAGTCCCCTTGACCAAGCAGCCGGGGGAGAAGCCGGCCCCAGCTCTGCCTCGCTGCCTACGCTGAGCAAACAGAAGGCGTGCAGGGCTGTGCTGTCTCTCAAGGAACTGCGAGAGGTTTAAATTCCTGCTCGGGAGAGCTCCGAGGCCCTTGGATGAAAGCGCGGATGGAAGCGCTGCTATTCATGGAGAGCAGAATGGGCAGCAGTAACACGTAAACCACTGCAGCACTCCCATACTCCGGAGTTTAAAAGCTTTGCTATTTCGCCTCTCTCCCCAGCCTCATTCAAGATGTTTTTTCTTGCAACCATTTGCTGCTCTTTCCAAGCATCCACCCCCCAGCTACCTGGCAGAAGAGATGATTTCCAGGTAAAAGAGACATTGCTCCCTGCAAACCTCACCTCCATCTCCCAGCACAGACCATCACCAACTGCAGCGGTGGGCAGGGACCCCCGGGAGGTCCCCAGCCCTTCCTCCCACCCAGACGATGCTCTCCGCTGCTCCTTCCTGCCTACCTGTATCTGTGGATGAGCGCGTTGAACATCTTCCCGTCGCTCCAGCATGATGAGAAGTTGGTGCACTTCACGCCGATGTAACCCGCCGTCACCTTCTGTGTCCACAGAAGCAGCTTCTCCTTGGCCGACATATCCCCCGACTCCCCGCTGATGTAGATGTCGGAGATCTGTAAGGAAGCAGCAGAGCCATGGGGTGACGCGGGACGAGGAAAGGCTGCACCGGGCGCGTCCAGTTTCTATGAACTTGCCCGAGACCGGGCAGCTGCCAGGAAGGGCAGGAGGAAACTCCTGGTCCCCATGGGAGACCAGGGACAGCCGACAAACTTGGGAATGGACCACCGGACCTGCAGGAGAGCGCTGGGGTGCCGAGCTGTGGCATGGTTCGGGCAGACTGGAGATCCAGGCAGGCGAGGGAGGCACAGCCATTTGCCAACCCCATTTCACCGCTTGGCCACGCGTCCAGCCCAGCCCAGCCCAGCCGGCACAGGAGCTGCCACCGCCGGACCCCGGCTTCCTACCACCACCGGGCTCGCCG